GGTTCCTTTTGCTCCTCCCTCACCAACACTTGTTGTTTCTGATATGATACAGGCCAACAGAACTTAACCTCCAACAGAAGTGGGCTGAAGCTAGGCAGACACAGCTTTAAGTCTCCACTTTGTCTTTATTAAGTCATATATGAGTCCATGGGAATTTTTTTGCTTTCTTTGATCTTTGGTGTCTCTAAGTAAAAAAAAGGATGTCTGTAGGAACTGAGTTAGAGGAGACATGCAGAGACCAAACATGGCACCGTGTATTTAAGTGCTCTGTGACTGCTTGTTGAGCTACACTGGACCCTGTCCCTCTAGCCCTGGGCTTCCCAAGAGCTTTTCTGATGCACTGAAGAAACTAGTTAAACATCCAGTCAGAACAAAGGGATGAGGGATCTCCTCGTGCTCTCGGAGCTCTCTGCTCCAGCTCCTTCTTGGAGGACTGTGGGTTACAGGCCCACTCAACTGTAACCCAAGGAGAGTTTCCCTATTGGAAACCCTAACATCTGGGAGAGAACATACCAAGAGCAGCTGTCTCATTCCAGTCTCGTTTTCTGACCTGCTGCTCTCACTGAAGGTTACTGGGGACCTTTGTGGGACCTTCTTTTTGCACTCTCCTAAGATTTCTGGTCCCATTTGTAGAAACCCCAGTTTTAGCAGGCCTCATGGTAATGAACTTCAGTCAATCATATTGGAGAAAACAAGGCTTCTAGCTGCTGTGAGTTCCGGGGTTCAGCCTGAACATCTCCTCAGTGACTCCCAGCACTGAGTGCAGTTAAAAAGCCCTGTGCACACTTGGCAGTGCCTACAGAGGACCCCAGCCTGTGCAGGAGATTGAGGACCACAATGGCCGTGCTCCAGGACCAGATATCCTGACAGTGTCTTGTATTAGCGAAACACCATACATGCAGCACTGAATCGAGTGACTCTTCCTTACAAGGAGAAGAAACTGAAGGAAATCACTTCCAACATGGCATTAGTCTTTCCTGACTCACAGGTGCCCTGGCAGTCAGTGAGGGCAATTAATTGGAGTGCACCTGCCCTAAGCTGCATTGGAAAGACCCAACCTGTTCCGTGAGTCTGAGATACTTAGAACTGAGAGTCACGGATGTACATGCTTGTACAGAACAAAGAAACACTCCTTGAACCTGAAACAGGATAAGATTCCCATGCAAGGTGGTAAGTGAAGCACAGGACTGGCACGTGACATCTATGCCAAATGTACTCAAAGCCTAGAGAGGGGGAGGGGCGAGAACGAGAGGGAAGGAGCATAATAAGGCTAGAGTGGTAGACTGTGGGTTACTTGGTGGTGGGTGCACTATGTTGGTGATACCTGACTGGGGTATCATATTCGTATCTCAATTTTTAAAAATGTGTCATCATTTGAGAATGGGCTCTTTATCTCTTGGTAAAGCACAGTTCCAGACTGTAAGAGAAGAAAGCAATTCAGAAAATGCTTGGCTAACTGTTGGCAACAGAAAACTCTTGAGATTTCACTTAGAAAGTTCACCCCAGCTCTTGCTTCCAAATGTCCTTGCCTCTCTGGAAGGTGAGCCTCTCTTAGGAATTGTCACTTGGCTACAGTAAAATAACTTTGAGATTGAATGGTGTATCTTAAGAGTGATAGCACATTGGCATCAAAATGCCCAACACTTGTTCTGGCACTTTGTGGAGGAGGGATGAATGCTGAAGGGTGGAGGGGAATATGAAGTTCTGAGTGGGGTTTTCCGGTTCTCCTCTCCCCCAGTCATATTGCCCAGCTTTCTCTTTCCAGTCTCCAGACCTAATGGTTCATCCTTGGAAAGAACTGCTTGGAAATCAGGTCAGTAGTTTCTCCATATTGCCAGTGCCTGGGGGGGCGGGGGTGGGGAATGAGGCTTACTTTGCAGGTGGATGCTGTGGCATTTGTCCAGGACTGAGTATCATTCCCTTGCTGCCAGGGCCTCTGTTTGCTGGTGGTTTACAATTTATTCCAGGCCCAATAATTGCTTTTGGCCAAAGAGAGCTGCTTTGCCCCAGGTTAAGGTCTCTCTCTGGGGACATCTTCATCAGTCATTGGCTGATGTGGAGGGTACAAAGAGCCAGCCCTCTTTTCTTAGGAGGGCTAGCTCTGAGGGTCTTCCCAGCTCCTGCCAGGCTCTTGTTATTATTTCACAGCTCAAAGTTGTGCCTCGAGTTGCTTCCCTCACTCACCCACAATTGTGGCTCCTGAGTCCAATCTCCAGTAAGCTCTTATGTAAAATCTCATACCAGAGCCAACTTTCTGTGACAGTGGTTCAGAAATCCCTGGGCGAATGAGCAGCAAGGAGGGAAAATTTCTGGAATGTGAGAGGGAGAAATATGAGAGCGCCATCATCATCAGTGATGGAAAGTCAATATTCAAACCCTATGACCGACTTTCCCTCTCTTTCCTAGGTGCATAGAAAGAAAATTAACTGTGGGAGTGATTACAAAAAGGTGTATGTTAATGAGGTGTTTGATGCATATTTCTTTTGCTAGAATGTCATCACAGTCTGAAAAAATCATATTTTCAAATCCTAAAACATTTTGTATATATTGTACAAATTTCCCACTTTTGGGCATGTGGGCAGGCAAGAGGAGAGTTTGGTGAATAGGTAGTTAGTAGACCACCTAATGTATGTGATTTTATTTAAATAGTATAATTTTCTCGCACTATGTCTAGAATTCCAATAAAGATCTGATATTAGAGTTTTGAAAAATAGTCTTTTGTTAATGTGCACAAATAGAAGATGAATGTGACTAATTATCAACTATTCATTGTCAGCAAGCTTAGAACAAGGAAAGTACTAGAAGTGAATGGGGATTTGTGGGTATGGTTAGAAGGACTGGGAGGCGAGGTGGGAGGGAACATGATGAGCTGTACTTACGTTATTATTTATATTTATTCTTATATTTCATATTTATGTTTTTTATTTTATATAAAAATATTATTTTCATCATTACAAATTTATTGTCACAGCTACTTTCTATTTTGGGCAAGAGTTTCTGATCTTCTATTTATGGGTAGTGATCTAAACTTTTAGGATAAATACATTTAAATATAAATGAATCCATTTAGATAAAATATTTACTAGTACAACAGAGTCCAACAGAGTCGTCTGCAGACAGTGTAAAGAAATATCATCACAATGATGGTAAGTGAATAATAAAAGTTTAGATGTGAAATCTTTTGGTGCAAGGAGCCAGAGTATTTGAAAAAAGAGATTATTATCTAGCATTGTAAGAGCCTAGCGAATATTGAATAAAATAACGGTTGACACCATGCAGCATTTGTGTCAAATTATTAAAATGGCTTCCATCTTTGTTACTGTGGTACTATTTTCCTAAGCAGGTTAGATTTCCTCCCTTTATATTGTACAAATTTTTTTTAGGTGCTTCATCTCTAGCACATGTGAATGGTCTATGAGAGTTTGTTGTTTATCACGCACGTGTTACTGTCACCCAACTTGTGTCAGGTGTCTTCAGGTTCATTAATTAAACAAAAAGCTAGAGGATGTAAAGGAACTTGGAAAAAACATTCCCATAGTTTGGCAGATTTTCAGACTAAATACAGAAACTTGAGACTATGAGTGCCTTTTAGAACATCTCCCATCAAATATATCTTACCAGGACAATTTCTTACAAGAAGACTAGGCAGAACTGCTTGGTGGCTGGGTTTGCTGAGGACATGAGTGTTCCGTGGCTCACAGATGAGCTGTTCCCTCCCCTTTGGCTGGCGGTTGTCCCCTCCCCCAGTACCCACTCTTGAAGCTCTTGGGGTGTGATACTGTTTGAAAATCTCTTCTTGGAATAATTTTCTTATTCAGGCTACACTTGTCACTTTGTGTCTGGCATGGTACTGGCTTTTATTGTATGGTATGACAGTGTGACTGTGTTTTGAGAGTACGATAGCCATGACTTATCCAAGAGATAAAAAAAAAATCTGAATTTAGGAGAAAAATAAACAATCTCTTAGACTATAAGCTGCACGTAGGGCCTTGAGTTTGCTTATCCAGCAGCTAGCAGGGCCCTGAGACACTGGAGGAACAAGTGAGAGAATGAATAGAAGAGCCAAGAAATCAATGATACATTTGAGAAACAGAGCTAATGCGTCCAAGGCTGTGGATATTTCCAAGCCTTTGAGTAACTGAGTTATTTCATAGAGCAATAGTGGGACAAGCCATGGTCATCTAAGTGTGGTGGGACCCAAAGGTGCTGGTGCCTGGGAAAGCCTAGAGGAATCAGAAAAGAAAAGGTGAATCCAAGACACTCAGAAAAGAAGCAGTACTGTTGCTGGGGGTGGTGGGGTGGGAGGGTTGGGGTGGGGAGACCTGAAAGATAGGGGCCCAAAAGATTGCTATTTTGATCTAGACATTCGGCATGCAGGATTGGAAATAGCACAGTAATTCCTCACAAGGCTGGTCAGCCTTGCTGATGGCATAAATCGAGAGTTGACTTCAAAGACATAACTCAGCAGACTGCTTTGGGGGTGTGGTGTCATTGAGATGAAAGCAGGGACACTCTGCTGAGTTCCCAAGCCAGAGCAGTGATTGAGCACATGACCCAGACAGCTCTCAGTCTTGGTTTAGGAGAAACTCAAAGGAATGAAGGCCAGAAAAGTCAACATTGTTCTTCTGTGGAATGTGGACAAACTTACCCTACCCCTCCCTGTCAACCTCCTTTTTCTTCTCCTCCAAGTGGTCCTGGAGGCCACAGGGTGGTTACTACCTCTCCCCAGTGTTCTACAACCCAGCCTGTAGAAAGCTTCTACAGCCAGAGCACTTCTAACCCTCCCAGTCTGTGATATTTATTTGACACCATTTGTCACCTGTGTACCTCACTGGATGTCTCTCTGACTGGAATAAAAGGACATTTGAGGGCTGGGTCTTTGATTTCTTTACACATTCCTTAGTATCTTTCCCCAGACCTCCCTTCAATAGGAACTGAGGCTGCACTGCTTGATTGAATGCCTGATAAACCAAATAATTTCAGAAAATCTTCATTTCCAGGTGACTCCTATCCAAACCACAGAGGCCACAGACTGGATCATGAGCTTAGTTTTCCAGAAGCCTGAAGGAGACCTTGTTTTATTGGTCTTGAAACCAATCTTGGGTAAGTATTGGGAGGAACAGTGTCTTTTCTACCTAGAATGTTCCCACCCAGAGCTATCACAATGTATCTGATATGTTGCTGAAGCCACTTGTTCCACAAGGAGACATGTGTAGAAGCTTTGCTGGCATCATCCCAGGGGGTATTTTTTGCTTCTCTGCCCTGAAGGGATGTTCACACTTGAGAGATGAGGCCCCTGGGCATGGTGACCAGCCTTCAAGCATAGCTGTATATGCCATTCTGGGTGTAAACACCCGAGAAATAAAATATGGTGTTATTGATGACCTTCTCTTCCATCTGAGAAACGTAATTAGAAATTCTACTTCCACCCAATGAATTTTCCTGAAACAGGGATCCAAGAGGCAGAGGGAGAAGAGAGTACCCCAGTTGGCAGAATCTGAAGTAAGGGGTCATTCAGCTGGAAACAGCACAGAACTAGAGCCATGGGCTTGGCTAGGAATGGACTCATTTGTACTTGTAAGTAGCTTCCAGACCTTTTCACTTTGCCTGCTCTTTCTCTTCACTTGCCTCCCCTATTAGGCTGATTTACCCCATTGTCAGTTGTGCTCCCAGGTTTAAAATTTTAACACCAAAGAGTCTCAAAGACGTAATCACATGGAACTTAGGTAGCACAGTCAGTCCCTTGTTCCTGAGTTCCACAAAAAGCCTGGAGGAAATATTTGGAGCCATAGAGCTGCCTCAGTGCCTGTGTCAGGTGTTTTGCACATTGGAAATCAAGAGCCTTAGCTCTCACGGCAGTCACAGGTGGGACTCCAACTGCCTTAGGGCTGCTCTGGGTTCCCTTCTGTTTGGGGACATCTGTGCATTCTCGTACCATCCCTAGGGACAGAGGGAAGAACATCCTTCTGGTCACAGGAGAGCTTGTGTTTGCAGAACTCTGGGAGAGAGGCAGGTTTGGGGCTTGCTGACAGCTTCTGATGCGGGACTGGATTCCAGAGGTGCCTTTGTCTCACCTCCCACAGGATCTGCAGCAACAGATCTAGGCAGCCCACATTCAACATAACAGCAGCTGGGGCCCACACAGCCTGGAGGCTTCTTTGTTGGTAGAAAGAAGATATTTTTCAATCACTAAATATAGGAGGGGCTGAAGTCATAAGACAAGGTAATTCTCTTAAGCACATTGTAACCCTTGCAACACAATGAGATGTCCAACCCAGGACAGCAAGAGCAGGAGGAAAATGTCTTTCTTTGGCTAACCCAGATTATGTAGGCTAGATTTCTTTGAGAGGACCTGTGTCCTTAGGCTATGGAACATCTTCCAGAACCTTCCCGCTACTATGGGGGGACAGGGCAGCTACCCTCCCACTGCCATTTTGGGGGGTAGACCAGTGCTCATTGGAAGACAATGGATGTCTGTTATATTGGTAACCCTTCTTATCTGTAAAATGGGTTTCCAGGACACCATCTCCAGGTTTGGTGACCAACTGAAAAGTTCCAGAAGCTGAGGTCCTTTCCCCCAACCGTAGCTGATCACTACTCCGCGGCTCTGGTTTCCAGTGACAGAAATGACACCAAGAGTCTCAGAGAGCTGAGCTATCTGGACACAGTACATCTGCTCAGAGGTGTCCTTCCCCTGCTCCCCACTCTAAAGCAGTCAGTGCTGCACCCAGAAGCCCTCGGCCCTTTCTGAGCAAGCCACGTGCCCTGCCAGTCCCAGAGCTGTGCAGGGAGCCAGGGCAGGAAGGCTTTCCCTCCTGCAGCAAGGAAGCACAAGTGTAAGAACAAGAATGCCAAAACTGGATGGCCCTTGAGACTTACTGACCAGAACTAAGATCCGAAGTCCCATCAAGGTTTCCACCACCTGGTCCGACAGGTGGGTGCACCTCAGTTCATGGAGGCCACTGCAGTGGGTTGAAGGCTGCTTTTCACTTGTGTGTCATTGGAAGTTGGTGGCAGCTCACTGACTCCACTTGGCTGCTTCTCACCTGCCTGTCTGCTCACTCACTGTCTTCCCTTGGCAGCAAGACAAGCGAGAATACAAGCATACACTCTACCTAAATTCCTGTCTCCTCTCATTTCCACGGGAGAGTAAGTGATTTCTTTCCTTGCTTATGCACCTGGGATTCTTTTTTTTTTTTTTAAAGATTTATTTTTATTTATTCATACAGAACTGGGGTACAGGCCAGAGATGCGGAGGGTGAGAGGATTCACCAGGAACAGAGTGGGGAGCAGAACAGGCATATCGATGAAGTACACTGCTGAGGGGAGCAGCGGGCGGGTCAGGAGAGGTCTGCCATGCCATGTGGATCTCCTCCGAGGCAGGCGGGGATCGAACTCATGAGGAATTGGCTTAAGCTTCTTAGTGCAGTGCTTTAACCCGCTGAGCCACCAGGAAGGGCGCACCTGGGATTCTTAATGCCCTGTTCCTGTTCCTTCTATACCAGCAACCAAAAAAGATACTGAGTAGTAGAAATGTCACTACCATTCCCACAGTGAATTTTTGTTCCCATTTTACAGATAAGAAGGGTTACCAATATAACAGACAGCCATTGTCTTCCAGTGAGCACCTGTCTACCCCCCAAATGGCCGAATGTCCACTATGAGTCAAGGAGTGTTAGTTACTCTGGACACTGAATCCAGTGCTCTTTCTACCCCATCACAGATATCTCAGATACATTCAACAAATACTCTTGGCATGTTGCAAGTGCTGGGACATTCTAAGTGCATTTCTCAAAACCAAAGAAAGAAAAACAACCCTCAAAAAAAGTCTATTCCTCCGTGGAACTCACATGCTAACTGGAGGAGGCAGGCAATACAAATAATAAAAAAGCAAAATACATGTTATTGAGATGTACTGTGAAGAAGAATAAAGCAGAAGAGGTAGAGGAGCATTTAATAAATGTGATGTAAATAAATAATTTTCACAAAATTAATGGCTCACTAACAGTGGTAACACATTCCCATTATAGTCAAATGTTCTTTGGTATTAGTAGTTCCCTCCCCTGACATATTTCAGGAGCTGCTAAACTGCTCTCCAGTTTCTTCTCATTTGAGCTACTTACATCCCACAATGTGCCTGCTATTGTGAGATTGTCCTCTTGAATGAAAATAGAACTTCTGTTCAATTCTTCCACCCATAACAAAGGAGCTAAGGCAGAAATAACTTCTGTATCTCTCTCTAGCTACATTTAGTTAAACTCTGCCTCTTTTTTCTCTTTTTTCAAAAAAGATGTACCATAAAACCTTATGATGTAATGCAGCTGTTTGAAATTTATGATGCTTTAGATAGGCTTTGGCTTGAGATTACCTGGAGAGGTGGATGTAAGCAAGTTAAAAAATAGAAAAGATTGCTAAAACTGCCGTACTCGAGTGGCTTTTTATTATAATAATAATAATTATTTTGAATATGTTGTTTTAAACACATCAGAAGAACTAAGTCATACTTGAGTGATAGAATCATTATAAATAATTCTTACCTATTCCTAAAAGCAAGAATCAGTTCCACACTGGCTACCTCAATTTAGGACCATTTGGATTTGAGAGTAATAAAATGGCTTTTATTAAACAAATATTCTAGAATGCACACTTCACTACATTGAGACTCACCTCTTATTCAAATGTTGCTAGATTTGAACATATATCGTACATCTCCAGCCTGGGCTTTTTCTATAACCTATTTCAAAAGATAGATTTGTTCACTCTTATCAGTGAGGTACTCAATCATGCTTCCTTGTATCAGGCACCTCAAGGGTAGGAGATAACACAAATTGTTTGGTTTTTAATAGCTGCAAATATGTCTACGTAAGTTGACTGTATTTACCCAATGCCAGCTATCTGAAAGGAGTATGAAAAATTAAGGTAATCATCGGTGCTTCCCAATAGCTGGATGTGGCGGTTATGTTTGCAAAGCATTGATTATGCCATCGTGTCCCAGTTGGGACATTTTGGGAGTCTGGGAGTGGAATGAGCATGGGTGATAGGGAGGCCCAGGGGGAATATAGGTGAGGGAAATAATCCATGAGGCAGTTCTGTCAGTTTCAGTTTCGGGGAAAACAATTTTACATCAGTGTGACCAACGTAAGGCTGGTTATCTCATATTTTTATTATTTTTGTCAAGTATAGAAATATATCAAGAAGAACGAATCACCTTGTTTTTTTTTTAAAGATTTATTTATTTATGCATACAGGAACTGGGGTATAAGCCAGAGGTGTGAGGGGTGGTGAAAGGCTTCACCAGAGACAAAGTGGGGAGCAGAACAGGCAGATGTGCTGAAATATACTGCTGAGGGGAACAGCAGGCTGGTCTGGAGAGGTCGGCTGGGATCAAACTCATGCTGCAGTGGCTGCAGATAACTCAGTGCTGTGCTTTCAACCTGTTGTGCCACCAGAGAGGGCCCAGAAAAAAAAATTACCTTAAATACCACCAACCAGAGAGAGTATTAACAAGAAAATCTATCTATTTAGAGGTTTAAATGATTCATGAATTGGGAAGTATACTGTGTAGGGGCTGCAAGGGTTTACACAGGTTTAGGGCATTTACAGACAGTAAAGGGGCGGGGACAGATTTATTAGTGAAAGAAAAGATTATTTCAGGTACATCTACCTTCCCTCAGGGAAGGCTGGGAAATTTTTTCATGCAAGTGACCTCTTCTGTACCAATTAGATATTAGGTCTAAGGGGTGTGTGTGTGTGTGTGTGAGTGCAATGATGACTCTATTTTGGGTCTGTTTTTTTCTATTTTTAGCAAAAGCTACTGCAAATAACTTTGGTATATTTTTTACTATATCTCTTCCTATTTCTACCTGAAAGCAAACACATTTAAAATTTTGGGTTTATGTAATTTATACAATTTTATCTACTACTTTGTCACTTATTACAATTAGGGCATTTTTTCATATGTATTGAAAACATAAAAGTCAAATGTTTACATCATAATGTGTTCAATCTTTCCCTTGTGGTTAAGCATTTGGAGTGTTTTCATTTTTTCCTTGTTTACCTGTAATAAACATTCTTGAATATAAATACATGTTGACAGTGCTGACGAATTACTGTTGGAACTTGATTCCTTTCCTTACCTTCAGAGAGGTTTATGGAGACATGACATAAGATCCAGACACAAATGCTTATCGGTAGCAAGAAAGGGAGTCATATAGATCCAATAACATTTGATCAATTAATTATTTTATTGCTTATTCAACAAGAACTTACTGAATACGTACTATGTGCTTGGCACTGTGGGGGACTGCAAAGACATTGAGGACTGAGCCATCTTGTTGGACAGACATGCTTCGACCACATTCAGAGTTAGCTGGTGGAAATTGCTAACAGTGACCTGGAACTTCTGTTATGTTGCTCTAGCTGTTGCATGTATGTTTATGCAAATATCACAATGCAGCAGCAGCCCTTTGATGAGCCACATCAGCCTGGACTATGCCCTGGTATTGAGGTTTGACGGTTTAATGGCTGATCCCGGTACAGCCATGTTTGGATTTTAGGAAAAAAGAGAAAACACCCGC